TACGGTTAACCCGATTGTATCCGGGTAAGTCAACTCGGTTAACCGATTAGGAATTTTTTACCCGGTTCAAATCATTAGCTCAAACATTGCTATTACTATGATTTATTAATAATTGTAGTGATGCTCAATTGTAAAGATAGGTCAAAATAAAGATCTCAATCACTACTTGAGATGATTCCAATAGTTTATTGAAAATTTTACAAAAAATGTATGTCGATAATGAAAATCCATAATAAAAGTATTGAACAATTCTTTATTCATTTTAATATTTATAAAGTTTTGATAAGTTAGGGACAAAAAGTTTTTTGACTGAAAATGGCAAATTCACTTCTATTTAAAATTTTTTTTTCATGTAAAAATTACCATACTCATCTTAATCACAAGCTCGATTGATCGATTAAAATTACTTTCCGTTAATTAAATTTAATTCCCGACACATTTTTAACATATTTTGATCCATTAATCGAGGCGCTTGAGAACGCCCCTAATTGACTAAAATTTAATTTTGCATTTGTGATATGAATCTTTAGAAAAATTATCGTCAATCATAGTACTTGTGCACGATCTTGGTAACTAGTTAATTACTTTGAGACAATGGTAGTAAATGATCAGTTTATTTGTTTAAATGACTAATGACCCAGAATGACCTTAAAATAACTGGTCATTATTGTTATGATTATTCAAATTTTAGATAATTTGCAAATGACTCATGACCAAATAACTACAATAATTTTTAACCAATTACGGGTGTTCTCAAGCAGCCCCCTCAATGGCGACTGAGATGTTGCCCAAATTAATTGAAACCCAATTAACGATGAAAAATAATTGCAGTTTCTTGCTTATATAAATGTCAAGAATATAGTATGTTGATCAATATATTAAACGCGTATTTTTATTTTGCTGGATTTATGTTGACTTACCCGCTCCCATATTATTAAGGTTATGTTTTGGAGTTAGAAAATTATGGGTTATAGTCGAAAATTTGCGAGAAATTATTTTAATTAGTACGTATAAAGCGATTTAGTATGCAAAATTTTGATTGTTTTTTTAAAAAAATTTTGGTTGATTCAGGGCGTCGAAACTCACATGACCTACAATTCATCAATAAAACGTGTAGCTCATTTTTTTTCGTATTATTAAAACAAACTTCAATAGCATAGTTCTTATCATTTTTGTTTTTATAAACTTTTTATTTTTGTCTCATATCTCGACCTTGTCTCCGTGCCCCAACAACAAGCGATATGCATTTCCTTATAAAGAAACTTATGATTATTGAAATATATTACTTACTTAATGAACACATTATTAATCGGTTTTATTATTATTATATAACGAAAACGAAAAGGTAATAAACGACAGAAATCATTTGGGTATTTTACACGCGTTTGAGAATTATTATTATACGAGGCCATTATCACGTCTCTGCCCTCAGAATTTTCTACGCTTTTGCTATGGCGTAGAACAATTATATCGAACCACCTACACAACTCTTAGTAGGATCCGACATTTAAGCAATTGTACTTATTTCAAGACACAAAGGCATCAGGCGTTGGATTCTTTTAAAACGATTATGAAAAATTTCAACTAGAAAAAAAGACCCACAAAGTGTAATCATGGTTAATAATTTTCACTTTCAACGTGGGAATCTAACGAGTCATAGCATGGTGTACACATGGAAGACAACAAAGACGACAAATACGACAGACGGCAAGAAACAAATACGACAAGAACAATGAAGACGACAAGAACAACGAAGTGATGATTAGAAGAGGGTGGGGAATGGATTGTGCACACCTTAATATGATAATCAAAAATTTAAAATTGTAATTGTGTGAAGAGGTTTTTATTCATATTATATGTAACCTTATTAAAAGTTATTATGATAGGTTTAATACTGGACTATTTTGAAATCAATTTTTATAATTGTTAAATATTTTAATCATGATTTATCATCAAGGCCAATTCATGCCAAACGCTCATTATTTGGCCAGCGAAACAAAAAAAAAAAAAAAATCCTACTAATGGAATAATCAAAAATGATCGATTAATTAAAATTTTTAAATCGTAACTTCATTTGGCTTTATCGTGGCTAGATAAAAATTACTTGTACACGAAATACACCAAATTTTTAACCGCTTTTTTTGATAGTAATTTACTAGTAAAGATGTATCAATTTTGCCGATCAATTTTATGCATAAAATCTAACCATAGCGACAGTAACATTATTATTGATCCTTACATAGATTTGATTAATTAGTATATGAAATACCCCAATGGAGCATGCATTTACGGATGTTTAACTGCAATAGCTTAACAAAAATCGGGTTAAATATTGATAACCTCATTGAATTGGCCATTCTAAATCAACTTCTAAAACATCCAAAGCTAAAATATCTGCATGACATCCGATCATATCCCCCAAACTTGGAACAGTTCTTCCCAAATCTCCATGAATAAATTCTTTAACATATCTGAACAAAAAAAAACGCAGTTATTAAAAGATAGGTTAAGGAATGGGTGAATATTATCATATTCCTGAAAAAAAAAAGGAATAAAATAAAACAGGATACGTTCCAGCTTCAGTTTTTATTCTTAATGTTAGAAAATTATCTTCCATTTGTTCAGCAAAAATATAATGGATTTTTTTAGTGCGTATTGCTGGTGATCGCCTAATGAATAGTAATGAATATTGAATGAAATAGATTACATACAAGAAAAATTTCGCACATACATTTATCATACCTGTGCAAAACACGAATTGGAGTTTGCTGTTTGATAATGAATTCATCATGAAATTTATTTATCTCGTCAATTATCTCAGGTGTTACTTTTTTAGAAATCCAAACAAGTGCACTTTTTTAACAAAAAAGAAATAAATTGTATTCATATTAGAAAATTAGAAGGTAAAGCCAACCCAACTTTATATATTGGTGATAGTCGTTGCAAATGCGCAATTTATATATGACTATGATCTATTAAAAGACTACCTATATGTTTTTGTTTTTGTTTCTTCGCCTTCTTTTATAATAGATAAATCTTGTTTGCTTTTTTTTTTAAAAAAAAAACAAAAACTTAATAAACACATAAGTAAATTTTTCATCATATAGTTACATACTTGGTTATAATTGTTAATCTCTGGCATCGCACCAAATCCGTATTTTCCTTATTTATTTCTTCTTGTACATCATTTAGAGCTTCTTGAGATGGAAAAGGATTCCGAGGATTGATTATTTCTATGAAAAATGGTCTCCCATTACCTAACATACGTACGTTAGAATCCTCTCGACCTGCCGGTACCAAATTATAATCTTGAAAACCATTTATAATGAGGCTTTATCAATTTATGGTAAAAATGACGCGATTGAAGGAAAAAAAAAAAATTTTGAAATTACCGTCACATCTGAATAGTTCGCGTATTTTCTCTCCAATGCATTCGGAAACCGAAGTTGGTGCCAACTTTATGCCATTAATAATCCATGGAGTTTGACTAATATCTCGTGAAAATTTATTATATCTCCCTGAACGATAAAAGATATTTAAAATGCAGTAATCAATAAAATAAATCATAAATTATACGCATTCTACAAACCTCCAACATAAATAGTTGTGTGTTCCAATATTGGTGGTCTATATTTCCATCGTTCTTTCAAAGAAAATGGAGGACAACCATGACACATTCTAGAAATTTAAAAATACTATATTTAATAGAGTTTTTAGAACTGGCATTTTCATCTTTTTGCAACTTACTTTAAAAATTCTTCATCCGATACTTTTTGTAAAGCGTTACTTATGTTTGGTCGTGAGTCTCCTGTCCAAATATGTTTTCCCTTTGAAATAATCAGAATGAATAATTTGATTTGACAAACCATTAACAATGAAATTAATAATAATATATAATCTTTACTTTGACGCGAATCTTTTTCATATCAAATTCAGCCGAGGGTATTTTCGTCAAAAACATGTGGATTCGTTGCGTTTCTTCATGGTAATATTCTACGGATATGTTAAATTGACTTTGACATTTATATACCAATCCAGTTTGTTGTTCAATACTCCAACCTAGCAAATGTTTGAAAATTTCTTTTGAATCAGCTAAAATTTCCAAAGAACAATGAACTTTTAAGTCACTAATTTAAATAAAAGATAAATAGATTTTAAAATTACATCAACATTAATAAAATGTAGAAAATCTTTTTATGATATAACTTACTTGCACATTTTTCGAATCCAAACCATCATTGAATGATTATTTACCAATATACCAATAGGCATAGAAACCGCGAGATTAAAATCTTTTACATCAAAATTATGAGCTAGAATGGTCTGATAAATTGGCCAAACACACTCAATAGTATCAGCTTGATATAAAAGATCGAAACACGTAACGCAAATAGGTTTATCTAGGGGCTTGCATGAAAGTATTTCAGTAAAAGAATGTTCAGTAGATGAAATAAGTTTAGGATCGATCGATTTGAGAAAATCTTCACGAATGCGACTAATAAGTGTGAATAAAATCTAGAAATTTAAGAATATTAAATTTGAATTATGATTTTTACTCGGAAGAACATGATAAATTTACGCATACCTCTTCAGATGCAGAATATATTTTATAATCATAGACATTTAAAAACCTAAGAATACATCTGGCACAACATTTTGAATTTAACATTGTATCGATAATGAGGGATATTGTTTCATTATTATTATAACGTGAAATTTGTTTGATGATATCTTCATAGGAATTCTCAATGTCTACATTAATTTAATAAAATTAGATGATATTTAGGTAATAGTAATAATTTTTTTTTATGAAAATTTACCTTGAGAAACTTTATCGCAACGAATTCTTTTCCACTTATCAGACTCTTCAGAAATTCTGGTAGGTAGTGATAAATCTATTGGAATAAATAGATAAACATTTTCTGCCGAAGTTTAAACTATCGATTGACAACTTGACAATAAAAATATATACACCATGATCGGTTTCCCAAAGTCTTTTTTTTAACATTGTGTCGATAATCAATTCTTGCGATCTGAGGTGTTTTAATTTTGATTGTGTCATGTGATCTGTTATTACGGGCTTTTATGATTGGATCTACTGTAATACTAATAACTGTCGTGAAATCGGATTATCGTGAAATCCACGTGACCCGTAACCGTCACCGTCACCGTCCGTATCCAGCAATTTCTGTG